GGTCGTGTCCACCGATTCTTGCGAAAGGGTAACTATGCATCTCGAGTCGGTGCTGGTGCCCCAGTTTACATGGCTGCCGTACTCGAGTACTTGACTGCTGAAATCTTGGAGTTGGCTGGCAACGCTGCCCGTGACAACAAGAAGAGCAGAATCATCCCCCGTCATCTTCAGCTTGCCATCCGTAACGATGAAGAGTTGAACCGTCTTCTCGGAAGTGTGACCATCGCACAGGGAGGTGTACTACCAAACATCCAGGCTGTACTTCTGCCAAAGAAGACCCAGGCCAAGTCCAAGTAAATTTCTACAACCATCTTCTCAAACCAAACGGCTCTTTTCAGAGCCACCATATGTAAAAAAGAAATTTGACAGTCGTTATCGTCTATTTTAGTTACTGTTCATCATATATTAAAATTGCTTGTGTTAATGTATATATCATTAGAATCAATACATTCATGCCGGTTCCGATCGGATTTTTATCATATTTATGTTACGGTACACATTTCCATAACAGAGTACAGACACGCTAAGACAATAACCCCTCCTTTGGGCAACCCCTATTTAGGGTGGAAACTTTCCGTGGAACAAGGGGAAATATACCTTTAATAACACTACGGTTAACACATTAAGAGCACGGGGAAACCGTTGAACGCAAAGGGGACACTTTCCTTTTACTTGTATCAAAACAACTTAAGTACTGTAGTCTCTGAATAGAGGGAAAAAAGTCATATTTATATTTTGACAGCTTTTGAGCAATAAACTTCACATCAGAATGCTTCCTCTCAATCTTTAGAATGGACATTGGTATGTGCATGTATAATGATAATCTTATCAATTTTGATCATTATATATAGGAATTTCTTGTTTTGTGTATTTTCTTATAGGATTATAATCTATACCATACAGCTTGCACCCTGATTTCTAAGGTCTCATTCTATTCATGCTATTCTATCTTGTGCATAAAATAGAAAGTTCAATACTGTACTGTATTAAAAAAAAATTTGTTGATAAACATTGCATTCGAATCAAGAAACAATATCGGGATCATATACAACT